ATGGAATCAACCTTAAAATCGTTCTTTGGCTATTTTTTTATGAAGTTATAGACGATTATATAAGATTTTACCATGACGTCACTGGCGAAAAAGTAACAAAAGACCGTGTAAATAGTGCCGCGTAGGGTATCCATCGCGTAGGATATCCGCCGCGTACGATCGAAGCGTGCATGCTGTAACAATCACAATTTACAACCATGGTTACAGCGTACACGCAAAGATCGTACGCAGCGGATACCCTACGCGGCGCTATTTACACGATCTTTTGTTACTCTTTCGCCAGTGACGTCATAGTAAAATCGTATATAATTGCCTATAACTTCATTAAAAAAAGGCCAAAAAACGATTTTAAGGTTGATTCTATTATTAATGGCATATCAAAAATCCTCTCTAAAACAAAAAATCATTTTGCTAGTTCTCTTTTAAATGGTCTTTGCGCTAGCCACATCCCAATCATGGATTCAGTGCTAAGATCTTTGCACGTTCATTGGCAAGTAATTGTGAATTCAACATTACCTATGGTGTTAACTCGTGAAAATCCAATATCAAAACACTGCATCATCCCCATACAAGTGATGTCATGTGAAAGCTTACTGGATTCTTGTTACTGGGGCCCCTGGCTTTAGTTTATAAGAGTTCATAGCACACTGTAATGGATACTTACTTATATCAACGGTAATGGTATGGTCATTGAGCGGACCCGTTTCCAGTCCGTTGAATCTGAGGGCAGTTATTCCAAAGCTTCTAAGCCAATCAACATCCGCTGTCGCATCATTCGTGTACCCACATTCATCGGTACCAAAATTACAGGTGACATCACTTAGTACTGTTTGCAGAAGATTAAGATAAAAAAAACAAGTATGTTTCGTTAAAATAATAATAATAGGCCTAATAATAATAATAATAAATAATAATAATAATAATAATAATAATAATAATATCATCACCCATCATCATAATCATCATCATTATGATCATCATCGTCATCACCACCACCACCACAATTAGCACCATTATATAGGCCTAGCTACTATACATAGTTTTGAAATATATCTCATCTCATAAGTGTCACGTGCTTCCCTACAGTACAGAAAATGGTAATGAGACGAATTAACTAGCTGATGAACGCAATAGTCGTTAATCATGCTTGATTAATCTCAGTTGTAGTAGATTGAATAATTTACTTAAAGTTTGCAATTTTAGTAGACAAAGTGAAGAGGATGGTGGGAAGTCACAAGTGCCCTACTTTCCCCTGGACAAGCGTGTTTGGTGTTCATAAATTGAACTTATTTAACCAAAAATGTTAATAACGCAGATAAAAATAGATTCGTCTGTATATTACGATACTATCTTACGTCGCTCAAGTCATCCGTTGACATCATGTTGCTCGAAACATAAAGGGAAATTATATAAAGTTATATTTACCATTTTGACAGATCGTTCCATCAAAACCATCTAAGCAGACACACGAGAACATGTTGACGTCATCTACGCACTGGCCTCCATTTTGGCAAGGACCAGAAGCACACTCATCAACATCTAAGAAGGTAGGATAAATCATTGGAATTAATATACAAAACATGTAATCCTTAATGAAAGTTGTTGAAGGGTTGAATGGTTTGGTCTGGGATCTGCGGTTGTTACAAACTCTCTTCAACATTTAGAGGAATAGAATCAAACGCGACACCTAAATAGGAACTATATGGAGATTACCAGAAACGGTGAAGCTATAGCTATGCAGACACCGTATTTCCAGTTGTTGACGTGATAGGTCGGAAAACATTAAAATGCACTTATAAGAAGCTATTTTCTAGCTATAAAGTTATATTCTAATAGGCTATAGTTAAGTTCTTTTTTTTTTTTCACGTTTTAACCAACAACATTGGCCTATATAATGAATAAAAATAATTTGCTACCAAAAAAGACGAATCTCATGTATGTTACTTTGCACTATCAAAATTGGCATTTAGATGTGAATGTTTCCTACGAGGAAGGATTTTAATACAGGCGTGTTCAATCATAGCTGTACTTAAAGCGTATGTAAAGTGATGTAAATTGTCATGTGATACTAAAATCGGATCAGTACGTGTAACGTGTCTTTTCGAACACCATATCCGGTGTAGTGAACACAGCTATTGAGAAGTGTTCGTCAATACAACACGCTGGCCTAACACGACTTTTAGCTAAATATTGAGAAATATATCTAAAAGTGGCTACACATCTTTGCTCTATTGATTTTTTTTATCTATAAGGTGCAGTTTTCTTTCTCAATAAGTTTGTATACTTTGTACATTCTTAGAAAGGCCAATTTTGCTATTGAAGACTTGATTTTCGTTTATGTGTGCTATATCCGCCCCATCCTAGAATTTTCCTGCCCTGTGTGGTATGGAAGCTTGTCTAAAGCTCAAATTAAAAGCATTGAAAGAGTGCATAAAAGAGTTCTGCGCATTATTTTAGGCCCCGTCTTTTTTCGACGTATGAGGCTGTACTTGAGTGCACAAACCTCACCACTCTGTATGTTAGGAGAGAAGCCCTTATCCTCAACTTTGAGGAGAAGATTATGAAATCTGATATTTATAGGTATATCCTCCCCAATTACCGTGCTGTTACAAGAGAGGTTAGATCTACTTCTCTAAATAACTCCCCTCCCCCCTCCCTTGATATCCTATTTGGCAGGACTAACCGTTTTAGGAATTCTCCGGTACCATTAGCAAAATTCTCAATCACTATAGGTTAATATTTTGATTAATAAGCAAAATTTTAGAGTGCTGTAGTAGTTTTGTATAGCTCTGATCTTGATCTTGTGTGTGCGTGTTTTTTTTTTTGTTGTTTTTTTTTTTTTTTTTTGGTGGTGTGTTTGTTGTGGGGTTGAGTCTTTTTTGGGGGGTTTCAAACAAATTTCCTGTTTGCTGTTTTATATTTGCTTTTTATTTTTATGGCCTCTTGTAAATTTATTGATTTATGTGTGTGTTTTGAGCGTATGCAATGTTTACTTTTTTTTTTCTTCATGTTTTTTTTAAATAATTTTATAAATTTTGATGATTAGGTATATATATCCCTATTTTTATAAATTAATTATTGAGTAATTAAATTGTGAATTACATTTATATTTTTGTATTGTTTGGAACTGTATGAGTAATTTTTTGCCTGTCTTTTTATATTGTAAACCAACGATTTTAGCCTATGGGGGGACTGTTTTGGTTTTTTTTATTATACCTTAAAAAAAGAATTAAATAAAATAACGTTTTCATAAAGAATTCAAAAAATACGTACCAGTTTCACAGTCGTTTCCAGAGTAGCCAGAAGTGCAAACACACGTATATCCGTTGAGGGCGTCTGTACAGTCACCATTGTTCTGACACGGTCCTGCTACACAATCATCCACATCTACGAAAAAAATGCACATAAGTACTGCTAGAATATTGCACAGCAACAACGAGAGTAATAGTAAAATAATAATAACAATAACAATAGTATTTGTTTTGATTGGTAGGAAAAGAGAATGTAACGAGAACTTGCCGAGTTCACAATGATCTCCCCCGTAGCCTCCCGAACAAATGCATGTGTACATATTCTCTCCATCTTCACAAGCACCGTCATTTTGGCACGGCAAGCTAGCACACTCGTCAATATCTAAAAATATAACAATGTAAAATAGTGTTATACATCTGAAATGATATTTTACCAAACCATCCGTCGTTGGTAAATATCGTCAATTAGTAAATGCAATCATTTTGATTATTGTTCAAAACACTAGACATCATTGTCAGCATCAACATCGTCGTCATCATCATCCTCATAATTATTGACTGTAGAATTCTTATCATCATTATTATCACCACAGTTGCTACTATCATCATTCACCACAATTATCATAATTCCCATCCTCATCATATCATCATCCATCATCATAATCATCATCATTATCATCATCATCGTCATCATCACCACCACCACAATTAGCACCATCATCACCACAACTATCATCATTATTCCCACATCATCATTATCCTCAACATCACAATCATCATCATCGTAATCATCATCATCATCATTATCAAATATCATCGATGCTACGGTATAGTACTTCGGTACGTCTACTACCAGGCCTATAATCATTACCATTATTATCATAACCATCCACCCTTCATATAGTTCTAAAATATCAAATATTAAATGATTAGACCTACATAAAATAGGCCTAATATTATAAAACTATTAATGATATCTTACTTGTTTCGCAATTAGTTCCTTCAAATCCCTCTACGCATGTGCAGGACCAGGCGAGAAAATCATCCAAGCATGTTCCACCATTTTCACAGGTAATACCCAGACAATCGTCACTATCTAAGTTTATGATAAAGTAAATATGTAACAGTTATTTTTCATTAGAGTTCTAATCGGAAATACACATACACTGCGCAAATTATTAAACTATAGATGCACAGTGAACCTGGGTCACAGAATATTTTTGTCATTTATGTAGAACTGTGTAATTTTTTCCCGACTTATATTTATGTATTTGCTGTTGGGTTTTGTGTATTTGGAGAACGTGTCGGGTTAGAGGTGCTTGCTCTCTCACTGGAATTTTTTTCTAT